TATCATATTAGCTAAAAGGTATGTGTGTAATATGTCTATAGAGGTGTACCATAAGTCAGGTCCTGTCTGGTGTTTCCTGCTCTGTTTTGGATGAGCATTAGGTCCAGCAGATGTCTGTTGTTATCCAGAATGTCTGCGTCCGGAGCGTTTGAGGAACAGAATGCAGTGCAGTTTCAGAGAAAACCCACCAGGGAAATGAATGCACAGACAAAACACATGCACAGACTTTTAACTTGTTCAAATAATTCTGCATATCTTCATATGGGAAAATAAGGGTTGAGTCTGAGAGTCTGTTAATAAAAAGTCAACAGATGAGTGCTAAGCAACATTCATATTTTATCAGTTATATCACAATTGTCTTATTAATTTGTAAATGATAAGGTGTAAATGAGTTAACCATGTTTTGTTTTTTTACAAGACTATGATTAGCCTCACACTTTGAGTTTGCTAAAATTAGTCTCTAAATACACTGTTTTACATGAAAACAATAAGAAAACAAAATATGTAACAAAGATTTTTCCGCATGCCTTTTTCATTGATGATGTGTTTATTCACTTCATTAGTTTAATACTGATAATCTAATACTGCAAATTACAGTAGCACTTTATTTTAAGGTGTCCTTGTTACATGTTACATGTACTTACTATTATAATAACAATAAATTATGCATAATTACATGCAAGTAACCCTAAGCCAAACCCTAATCCTAACCCTAACCATATAGTATGTACATGTAGTTAATTACTATTACTCAGTACTTAAATCTATAATTACACTGTAACAGGGACACCTTAAAATAAAGTGTAACCCAAATTACATTAGATTTTTATAAAAATGTAAAATTAGAACTATAAGAAGACTATACATTCCTATGACAGAGTTTCTACATGCTTCAGGTAAATACATTTCTATTAAATATATTTACACGAGTAAAGGCTGGAATACACTACACAACTTTTACAATCAGAACAGATTTTGAAACACTAGGCATCATACACTTACCGACTTTAGTTAAAGAGGAAAAACTGGCCATCATACACTAAACGACGGAGTTGTTCCGATAACAACAAACTCACACAGAAACGTGTGCCTTGTTGTTAGGAGATGCATGACAAATGAAAACAATATGTGTTCTAAAATTGGCTCAAAATATCAACCATGTTTGATATCCTCCTACTGGATGGAATCATATCTGAAGCTGAAAATTCCAGTCTTAAGCCTGACAACTAATGGATGGAATACACTACACAATTTTGCCCCAATTTTCTGCCAATTTACTGTCTAAAGAAGTTTAAGCCAGTTGCCGAAAGTTATAAGTCGTGTAGTGTATTCAAGCTTTTAAGGTCATCTTTAAAACTAGACTACTGCCACCTTTCAGTAATTTTAAAAGACCCTGAAAGACAAGCAACACCAGAAGACATTCACATCATCTGCTCTTGCTGTACATATAGACTCATGCACGGTGTCACACAAATCCGCAAGTCCACAAGTCCACAAAGTCACATGACTGACCTTTGGCTTTGAAGTAATCATGAACACTCTTCTATTTGACTGGGGTATACTTAACAAAACTTCTAATGGTAAACTCTGCAGGGTTTTGTTAATAAGCAAATACTTGGCAATTAGTGATGAGAGCAAACAGCAGTGCTTGCCGATCAGCAGCACAGCCAGGAAAAGCTTACAGTACATTCGTTCTCTCATTGTAGTTTATTTAACAAACATTGGAGATGGATTGGAATGGAAGTGGCAGATTGGGTTCGATCGAGCGCTTTAGTTCTAAATATAAGCGCATTTGTTTCATTAAGCTGGGCTTAGTTGACGTCTCAGCATTCTGGGTTCCGAGAAGCCTGAGCGCATGGAAAGTCCAAGCGGCCCAGAGCACCGGAGGGCCAACTTTCCAGAGCATCCATCAAAAACTGCTGTTTCAAAGGTGGCTTTTCCACACATTTGTGAGGAGAAAGAAATGAAAATATGAACTTAACTCAAGCAGGTTGTTCATGGAACAATGCACGACATGCGGCATTGAGTATCTCTCATTCAATCACATCACGACTGGAGCAGACTATCAAGAAACGAAAGTCAGACTTGTTTGGACTTCTCTCAGGGTTTCCACTATTTTCAAGACATTATATTCCAGGACATTTATGTAACTAAAGAGATTTAGAATTAGCATTCCATTAGCATTTCTGGAACCACAGAAATCTGCCATCTTTGCTTATGGAACTACAGATGTTTTTGTACAAATGACCATGTGATCAATCACTCTGGAACAGCATGAAAAATGACATCATGATGATGGCATCACAAGAACACACAGACCAAAACTAGTGACTTTTCTGAGCTGTGATGTCAAAGGAGACAAATAGTGATTCCAAGTCCGTTTCACAATTTAACCCTGTAAAGCCTGACATATAAAATAATAGTTAGATTTTTTAACAGGAAATTGAACTGTTTATTGAATGTAGTTTATTAATATACATATTATTAATTTCAATGTAAAAAATACATAAAATAAATGTTTTTGTTGATATCATATTTTATCAGGGCTCATATAGTATAATAGGACAATATGGAGCTGATATATGAAGTGAAAAAAAAACTAAATTTTATAGCGATAATAGCTTGTAATTATCTCTTTGTAAGATTACTTACATAAAATGCATATAAATATAATTTGTTACTCTATATTTCCCAACAATATACCTTAATAAGGTATTTAAATTAATTCATTCATTTTAAGATCAAAGCTAGATTTAATTGTGGTGGCAAAACACATAATGCAATGCAATACAATGATGACTGAGAGAAATGTTCCTCAAAAGCCTGATGCATCATAATTGATATTTACATTTGAAAAAAAAATGGTGTATGGATAATCAGGTAAACCTAAGTTGCTTCAGTGTTCATCTTGAAATATAACAATATAAAAGTGATTCTTAAGTATACTTTTTAAAAATCATTGACAATTTGCACCATGACCTGACGTTTTTAGAATTATACTAAAACAAGTATAAACAATCAATTAAATGACAGAAGGCATGTAGATTGTGTACAACAGTTTTTGATCATGTTGCATATCAAACATTATACGTTAAGAGCCCTCTGAAACAGAATCAGACACTGGTAAAACATCTACAATAATTTAATTAAATATTAACACCGTTGTTCACACTAAAAAATGTATTTCATTAGAAAACACAGCCTCCTTACAAACTAATTTTGAAGAATACCATAGTGTAACAGGACATTTCGGAAGTATTCAAGAACGACTAAATTTTTCCAAGCTATTTTAGTAATCTTAGCATTTTCCATGACTGAAAAACTGTATTAGTGCACCCTGTTCTCTGGGGTGGTTTTTGAAAAGAGAACATTTAATACAACTCACTATTTTCCTCAATGTTCTCTATGTCATCTGGTTGTCAAGCCTTATTACAAACAATCAAGCTGCATTAAAAAGTTCCTGGCTTATTTTAGCTATGAATATTGCATCGGTGACAGAATTTCAAAGGTCGTTTAGGTTCTTTTCATGTGGTCAGTGTTTTCAGTCAGGGGGTCTGGGCTTAATGCAAAAGACTTCTGTTGACTGAATGATTACAAGAGACTTGAAAAATAAAGCCATGCACAAATCAAAATCAGGGCCTGTAAAGCAGGATAAGTGTGACTGACAGGTGGTTTCAACACTGTTTACAGAATTTGAGTCTCCTGTACGATCAGACACACATGCATGACGTGAGAGATTTACATGAAAACCTTTTGCATTTCAAAATTTTTAAATAAATAAATAAATCAGCGTGGGTTTGAAGTCAAAGCAAGTTGGAAATTTAAGTTCCATATCAATACTTCACTCGTACTGCGTCTTGCTTAATAAGACGCTATGGGGAAAACTACTTATTCTCCGATGACTGAATCCATTGGTTCGTGCAGGCACGAGCCTATGGCAACGAAACCTGCCAGAGCCCGCCAGAATGGGCGGGGCCATCTGGCTATATAAGCGGGCTTTTCGCCATAGGATCCTCAGATTTCTTCTCCTTCAGCGACGACTTCAAGATCTTCGCTCTAAGAGACTCGAAGCCTTCACCGTAAACAAGCCTCACAGCGGATCTAGACCCCTTCCTGCTCAGCTGACTTCGCCGCTCCCCAGCCACCTTCAGCATTTGAAGCAGCTGCAGTCTTCCGGTCCCCTGCCGCCATCCGGCGATTTCTCTATTAGAGCAAATTTCTAAGAGCAAATTTTCTCTGCGTTGTTCCAAATGCCGCGCTGTTATTGTCACTGACAAACACGGTGAGTATGTTTCATGCTTGGGCGCCACCCACACTGAAACTGCACTCACTGAGACGGAATGTCCTCAGTGTGAGGATATGAGTCTTGCCTCTCTGCACTCGCGGTTAGCTTTCTTTTCAGAAAGTGACTCCGCCCCTCGCGCCCTCCCGCTTCCTTCCTCCCAGGAATCTGTGAGGAAAAAGCAGCGGGGCAGAGGAACTCGGCTGAGTCCCCGCGTGCCTCATTCTCTCCTCATAGAGAGGTTTCTCCCGTCCTCTTCGCTCACCCGGACCAGCGTCCCTCTGCGGCTGCGAGCGATCTGGTCTCGTTTGGTGGGAGCGAGTGCGACAACATGGATGACAGCATGTCTCTGGCTGCTTCAGATGCGGAGGAGCTGTCGGGCTCGTCTCAAGACCCCGCCCCCTGCCATCTGCACAGCCCAGCACAGCCAGCACAGGCATGGACGCCGAACTGTTCCGCGTCATGTCTAAAGCTGTGGAGGAGCTGGGCCCCATCAGGCCCCTCGTCAACGGGCTTCACCATTCTTCCCAGAGGTCCATGACGAGATCACCAGATCTTGGCACGCCCCCTACTCGGCCCGCTTACATGCCTCTTCTTCGTCCGCCCTCACATCGGTCGACAGCGCCAAAGAAAAAGGGTATGACAGACTGCCTCCCCTGGATGAGTCATTGGCCGCACATCAAGGATGCAGATAAGGTCCCCTTCCTCGACTCCCCGGTCTCCCCCACCGGCCTGTTTGGATCTGCGGTTGAAGGTTTCGCTGAACGCTTCACTGACGCGCAGAAGTTGTCCCAGGCAATGCGACACTTCTTGCCAAAGCACTCCAGTTCTGCAACTGCTTCCAGTCACCCCAAGACGGCACCTCCAGCTGCTCAATCAGCTTCTAAGCCTGAGCCCCGTCATCGCTCTCGCTCAGCCGGATGCTATCCATTTCCTAAGCGGCAGGGACCCCGGCCCAAGATAGTGCTGGACCCAGCACCTCAGGCGTCTTCCTGATTTGTGGGACAGAAAGAGGAAGGGGCCAAGTCTCGCTACAGCAGGACCCCCGCCCCCAAGCAGCCTCTGTCGTGCCACCAAGCGTCCCGTTCAGTTCCGGGTGCTGACAGCAATGTGTTTGTGGTAAACACCGTTGTGAACTCTGGGCCCGTTCAAATAGTGGCCACACAACCGATCGCTGTTATAGCGAGAAAAATAAAACACAAGCATTTTCAAAAAGAGAGCAAAAATCCTCTTCCTCTTATCACGAGCATCGGGTCCCCGCAATGTGGCCTGTTGCTCGAAACAATCCAACCCCTCTCTACATGGGCCGAGGCCTGGCAGGCCATCCCCGGAGTGTCAGACTGGGTTTTGGAAATAATAAAACGAGGTTATACACTTCAATTCACTCAAAGACCCCCACGTTTCAGCAGCGTGGTTTCCACCTCGGTTCAGAGCAAAGACGCACAAGTCCTGCGCACCGAGGTGATGAATTTGCTGGCAAAAGGAGCCATAGAAACGGTTCCCCCGGCTCAGAGCAACTCAGGCTTCTACAGCCGATACTTCCTTGTCCCCAAAAAGGATGGCGGCCTAAGACCCATCCTCAATCTAAGACATCTGAACCGCGCCCTCATGAAACGGCTGTTCAGGGTGATTACATTTGATTACATTGATCCTCTCGCAGGTGTGCCCAGGGGACTGGTTCTTTTTGCTGGATCTGAAAGACGCCTACTTTCACATCCAGATAGCCCCCCCACCATAGATGATTCTGAGATTC